CAATTCAACAGGTATATAATGATAACTTTCAGTATATTGAAGTTGGTAAATTCAAGAGTGCCATGCATTAACAAACGTCTAAATCTGCTGCCAAATTTAACAGTTAGAAAATCGACCTATTATTTGCCGCATTCCCATTCGCTGAGGGGGATAACGGATTGTTAAATTTAAACCTATAACATATATCAAAATACATGAAAGTTGTCCTGTTTTCTCTGTACAAAAGCATCATGTTGGAATCAAAAAGTGGCCTTGTTTATAATACAGTCGAATTTTCACGATTTTATTCAATATTTCAATAGAAATCACTAATATTTAGAGACCTTTGACAGCTTCCGTCAAATTGCATTTCGATAAGGTATTTTCCCATTGGTCCATAATATTAATGTTGGTGAAATTGGCCCTTAGTATCTCATTTTCGGATTTGTCGGGATTAGAATACTTTCACGCCAGAAGGCGTGGGAAGTCAAAAGTTGTATTTTATCTGCAATAACAAAATATTCGCGATTACAATACATCCCACGGAGATGCGTGGGAAGGTAAAAGCGAATCATAAACATATGATGAACGTGTTCAAAAATATCCTCGGTAGCTAGTCGGCGTGTTTCAACAACATCACGAAGCAATCATCCAATCATGTCAGATTGTCAGATGTGGAACTGTGAATGCTTATCGTCAACCGCCTAATGGGGTTGTCCAATCATCTTGAAGGGGGGTCGCGCGTGTAGATGTGCCCGTACCCTTACAAACCACCTTGACGTCAAAGACGCACTATTCTTGGAGATACATACAGAAAAAGCAGCTGCCGACGCAACTACCTTGAGACAGACCCAATAATTTCGGATGACATCTGCATTATTATACAGGGTGTTCCTTAATGATATGCGAATATTTAAGGGTGTGAATCTACATAAAAAATTAATGTTAGTTTGCTTGATAAACTATCGTCCAAAAATGGTTCCTTACAAAAACTCGGAAATTAATGGAAATTAATTAATATCAGAACCGCTTCAGATATTTCACTGATATTTAGTACGTAGTGAAAGTTAATAAAGTTGCATACTTTTCAATACAAAAATAATTTTTAGCTTTAACAGTTGCGTGCGTACGGGTATTGACTTCGATATTTTTCAAGAAAAAAATGGTACGCCAATGGTTTTTTGCCAAATAAAAATTATTTTTGAATTCCCCGTTCAATTTAAAACAAATGATCTCTCTCGAGTTGCTTTCCTTCGATGCGCCATTTTTGAGTAAAAAATAAAAAGCGTTCTATTGTCCGAAAAAATTAATGTAATAATTGAAGTTGTCTGAACACTCTGTGGTACGCCTCGGTGGATCAGTTAGCCTTCTTCGTGTTCCTCTAGCTTCTTCTATCCACACACGACACACACGCATTACCGTCATTGCCATTAGCAACGTCTCGATAGCCAATAATGCTACCACTGTCAAAGTCGCTAGCATGGTGGTAATTTGGACGGCAATAACTAAAAATATCTGTACTACTCAGGTCTCAGAAACTCACAAAAAATAAGAGATAACATTTTAACAAACGTAAACAAAAACAAATATGAAACGATGACATTGTTGCCATGGAATGCTGTAAATATAGACTTGACTCAGGACATTTTGTACCAGGTGTTCTACATTCGACTCTTACCATTGAGAGATACAGAGTAGGTTAAATCAGCGCAAACTTGCGTATTCAGGTATTTTTTTTGAAAATACGCCATGTTGATAACATCAGCATACACGTCTACGTGCCGCATCAATGCGTTAATTGCAATTCAAAATTACTATTCATAGCAATGCATTCGTTGTTGAATTCCTACTTCATTCGATAACTATATCAATGACAGACAACATTAAATACTTACTAGTCTATATAGACAATCACTTGAGATCGGATGTACACGTAACCTACTTAGCGAAAAACATTAGACCACCACTTTACAGATTCAAACTACTGGAAAGACTTCTAGACTTAGAATCGTTAGAAATTGTATATCAGTCGTTGCAAAGTCACATAATATATTTATTATGTGATCACAGTTTGTGATGCAGCAAATAAAACTCATACCAAAATTCTTGAAGTGACACAAAAGGCAATAATAAAGACAAACAGATTCGACACGGTTGAAATATGTTTACGCTCAACATAAAAAAAATTAAAAAGAAATGTCAATTTTGCCACCAGTACTGTAAGAATAAATAATGGCATAAACAAAATAAACATGTTTAATCACGCGCAAGGTTTTACATATTTATTTGTGCATAACTACACTTTTAGATTATTGTATATTATTGTTATTTTATTTACGTGGCAAATAAATCTTATTGTATTGAATTCTATTCTACGACCTTCGCAAGAAAATGTTTCTGACTGTTTGTTTATTCAGGACATCATCGGTACTTTAATTTGGGAGATGAATTTGTTGTGTAAACTGTTACTTGACTCTGGGCTCTTTTTCATAGTTTGCATTTCACGCTAAACTTTAACGATAATTGGATTATATTAGCCAGCTTTCAACACATTCAATAAATAAAAGAAAAAAACACATTTTAAAAACAAGGTTTTATTTATCTGTTGACAGAACGAGCTAAAAGTTCAAAAAGATTTCTTGCTCCGATTGGAAATATGCCGTTTTATACTTCTTAACCTCTAAACGATATTGAAGCTTCATTTTCCAGTGAACATGATGACGCCATAATGACGTCATTATTCGGTCACTTTTGACTTTTGATCGGAAACGTCATTGACTGAAAAATGACGTCTTTATTGCCCCCAATTTTATGACGACAAGACGTCGTTCAACAGGCTGTCATTTCCACGTCTTTCTACAACTCCTGCACTCTGCGCGATGATTTTTGCGAGCGACTTATGTCATATCGACGTCATATAGACGTGATATCGACCTCTCAGATAGACGTCATATAGACTTTGTGTTTGGTCTTTTATACGACATACTATGACGTCAATTGGGTGTGACATTAGACCGTGGTAATGTCATTTTTGTTGGTCGGAGAATGTTATAGTAGTGCCCTAAAAATGCCGACATTGTGACGTCACTATGTTCACTAGATTGCTTCAAAACTGATCAGGAAACTATGAAACTCCCAAAAACGGAGGTTGAGCGATTTTTATTTTATTCGTCTTTGGCCTTTCCCTCCGCCGCCACTTAGCCGGTATTCAAGAACTATAAAAATTTGTCGGCTTTGGCATAGTTGTAACTTGGTGTGAAAAATTTCGCCAATTTTGCCAACTTATAGACGGATCAAAGAACATACAACATCCAAAAACAATTCCTCGCCAGTATTTAACTTATAAGCATAATTGCGTTGACATACTTAATCATCAGTGTGATCCAAAGGCAAAGAAAATCGATTTCCAGTGCTGTATATCGTTAGAGCAGTCCCGAGGAACTTGTGAGATTATTTTTTGTGTCTTCTCTAAACCGAGAGATAGACATCTTTTTCTGCGACACTGTCTAGATCAGTCTACAAAGAATTTTACGGTAGATCAATTGGGTGAGGTTAGGGACAGTGAAATCCATAACAAGGTGTATTTATTCCAACATCTAAATATAAAGTCGACTTCACATCACGTAAACACTCGAAACATGCATCGTGCTACTTTGTATGAATGTACTTGTTAGAATTCATTTTTATATGCAGCATAAAACTTATCAGAGGATCTTTCCACTGAATTTTAAAATATGGTCATTGACCTGACCACCACCAGAAATAATGAACGTCTGACACATATTCCTCGTCGTCTATTAAAAGAATCAGGCCAGAGAATATATCAGAAGTAGATACATGACCTATTACTTTCTATTTTTGCTTAGCTCACTTGATTGGATAAATAACAAAAGCTTTCGTAAACAAATTATGCAATTCCCGGGTATCCTGATATGGTGCAAGCCATGGAATGATGTTGGATTTGAAAGATTATAGAGGTGAGTTGGATTCACACGAAAGTTGCAACAAAAGAAAGCAAAAGTCCAAGTCCATAGCTTACCGGAATAAACAACTGGTCACATCCTTGGACTCCAGCCTTGAAGCACTGAGAATTTTCAAATCAAAAGTAGCGAGTTCGTGGGGCACTACCGGTTATTGAAAGTTCGAGATTTGTATTATAAATAAACAAATAGAACAGGGAAAAACACCACTTCTAGTAGGCACCTAGTAGGTAGTTCAGTTTTTCTACAATTGCACTATCACTAGAATTATGCAATGTTGCCAAATCTCAAGATCCTGGCCAATCCATATACAAGGTGTTTGCAGTGTTAAGAAATTCGCATTTTTGCTTACTTCTAGTTTCTTGAGTAGCGCCATCTATCGATCGCTCCACGTAATAAAAGCGTTATTGACAGCATACAAATCTCAAGTATCATTTAAGCGTAGACAAAGACCAATAGGTACCCAGTAGACTGGAAACTTTGAAACTGCTTTCGTACGTTATTCCCAAAAGCCAATGCTTGAAAGGAGAAACACGGTTACCGGTACGTCAACCGGAGGTTGTGTAGAGAAATGACTTTTTAACGCAAACACACAACATGTCTTAAAAGCCTCCATTGCAGATTCCGCTAAACATGTTTAGCGTCGCTCTGTGAAAATTACAGGTAGAGAATGTACAAAAGTTGAGGTACAATAAAAAAATATAAATTACGAAATTACCATAAAAAATGTATTTTCTCTTTATAACCGAATTAGAGAAAATTTGGCAACATTGACTTGATATGAAGAACAAATGACATCAGTAACGTTAACTGGATTGCCCTTATTCTTCAAATGTTTAAAAAAATAACAGAAGTTTATTGATTTAGGCATATTTTGGAGATGGAATGCCTAGCGCGTGTTTTATCAATTATATGATCAAGATTCAACAATTCAGCCTTTGAACACGATGCTTGCGGATTTTACTCTTGATGGTACAACTAGCGCCATCCTCTTGACGAGCGGTGAAACTACTATTGATATTTTTGCAGTGATCTGTCAATCTACAGTGGTTGTCAACGTCATATGTCAAGTCTAACCTCCAATTTTGAATGTTTTAATTTGAATTTTTCTTAACCATCTCTTGTTTGTTGTGCCTCATATTGCTTTTTTTCACTGTAATCAGTCTTTGTCCAGTGCTGAATTTTGATTCTGTAAACAGCTGCTAAAAATCAGCTGGTGATTTAAGGTTTTAACTTGACACGGTGACACAAATATGTTTTTGAGGTCAAGCATAAGGATGCATTGCGGTTTTCAAGAGGTCAATGTACCTAGAGATTAGTTAGTTAATTTCTATTTATTATTTTTTACATATATGTATGTCTTATCACTATTTTCTGTGTATTTAGTGAGTATGGACTCTGTTATACAGTTGATAACTTATGTTTATCTAATGTGCAATATTCTTTCAGCCTCTTTTCTATCTGTGGGCTGTATAACTTAAAGAATCCTTATTAAGCAAATGAACATGAATTTTGTTCTGCTTTATTATGCAGCCATGTCATGGACGATGATAATGTATAGCTCTCTCGTCAATTTCTTTGAAGATTATTTGCCCAGGATTTTAGTAGAGGCATTCAAGTACGGCAAGTGTGCCTGTAATGAAAAAACAAAGCTGGTCTCAAAGATAGAAGTACCAAAGGCATGGTTTAAACATTTCTATGTAATTGCTGTGATAGTCTTTTCTTATATATTCTATGCGACAACATGGGTCTATGTTGTCGGAGGTGATGTTGCTGAATGGTTTTCTAATTTTTTGAACATTTGCTGTGGCCAAGGAAGAGTAGCACATAGTAAGTTGAAATTTCTTCAAGACAATTGCTATTGTTTTTTAATATAATATTTATACTGTCATGTAGGGGTTATTTTTTTGTATTAGTATGGATATTTGTTTTTGAGAAAGAAATGCAACAGTTACATGGGCAATGAACATTTTTTGTTCAAATTAATATTGCTTCATTTTCTTATATCATCAAAAAGTAAAATTCGGATTCTAAAATGACCTTGCTCGCAAAGATATACTTGAATGTATCCAAAATATGTAGTAAAAATCGATGTTTCCCATTGAAAATTATTCAATCTCCAAGTGAGCTTGATAGTCATAGTCAAGGTCATACTTGAACATAAAGTTTCTTGCTATCTTTATAACCAGTGGCTAAAATTGGGGTTTCCATTTAAAAACCTGCCTTGACTTTTAAATGAACTTGCAGGTCAGTCAAGGTCACATTCAACGTCATTATTAGCTGAATCTTTTCAAAGCTATTACAACTTTATAACACAAGATTTCTCTTTATGAAACTCATTCAAACATACTTTTAACGTAAAATTTTCCGCTCTTTACTTTTGCGCCGCTAAAAATGAGGGTTTAATTAAAGAAAATTGACCTAAAAAGATTACCAATAGATGAATCTTTTTAAACCTTACTACCTTGTTCTACAAATTTTTTTCTCTACAAATCATATTTTTCGATCTATCGATTTTTTTAATACCCTGTATATTTCATGGATAAAACCATGCCTATAACCTTGCTCAGATTTCAGTTAGGTAGTGTGCAAATTTTTCCCTATTGTGGTTCAGATGTGATGCTGACAGATATTCACATTTATATACAGGGTGTTTCAAACTAAGGGATCAAACATCTAGGTGTTATTCAGTGTAACAGTAGAAAACATTAGAGTACAGTGACCCATATCCGAAAGTGTCACTACAGCACTACGGCCCTAAGACGCGTTAAAATTTTGAAAGAATTGCCTAAATAGGATTTAATTTTTGCCTTTATACATGATGTCATCACAACAATTATTGTTTAAAATGTCTTCTTCCAACCTAAATACACCGATTCAAACGTCGCACATGATTTCAGCGGACTTGACTAAAAATTTAATACTCGTTTTAAATGATTTCAAATGCTGCTGTAATTCGTCCAATTAAGCCTTGCTCTGTTTTTACTGGAGTTTCTTAAACCAAAGACTTTACATGTCTCCAGAGAAAAAAATCTAGCGACGTTAAATCGGGTGACCTAGGAGGCCAAGAAAGTTTTTCATTAGCAACAATTAATTTTTGTTAAAGTCTTGCAAACTTCACAAATACGATAGCACGACTAAGGCGATATGGCAGCTACAAAAAAAAAACAATATCTGCTATCGTTTAACACGCAAGCGGTGGATATATATACTCAAATGTTTTCTACTGTTACACTGAATAAACCCTACAAGTTTGATCCCACTCTGTAGACAGATAGAAGTACCTTGTATTTTGTATTACAGATACTTTGTATAAGGTATCTTATAAATCACTGGAAATATGAGTATCACAAGTCGAGGGGTTAGTGTCGAATGACGTTTAAAACCACTATTTTCCATCTGGTGTTCTTATCGAATTCGGAATCTATGCATTCGGTTCACCTAAAAAACAAGCTTCCATCCAGACTACACTCGCGTAATATCTTTTGGAAATTTTTTGATAAGTGGGATTCTTGCCAGTAACTCAAAAACGGGTAGTTTCGGGAGTGAACGAGCCCCGGAATTGGTTTCAACGATTAACCCATTTTTGTAACATGTGACCTGTTTGCTCAAAATTAAAATGCCTTGAATGAGATTCAAATGACCTCTATCTCACGTATTTTTAAATTGCAAAATTACTTACGCTGACAAAGAAACGCATATCAATTTTAATTCCTAAACCAAGGGGATATAATTTTTTGACGCCATAGTAATCGAGTATGGTATAATTTCACAAAAAATGATGACGTATTTTGTCACTAAGCCCTCGAAGTGAACAGCATCTACCTATTAGAACTGTAGACTATCTCAGTTCGCTTCGATAACCAAGTCTCGTCACTGTGGCCGCATGATGCCGTTGCTTCTGGCAATATAGTAGATGATGGTCTACCAGTGAACCTGTTCACAGCATAATGTAATTATTTTTCAGCACCAGCTGCTAAAGTTTACCTTGCCACAGTTTTATTAACGTTACAAGTATTTAGAAGATTCTATGACACCCACTTCGTTTCTGTTTTCGGCAAAAACAGTTTCATGAATCTCCTCCATTATATAGCAGGCGTTTTCCATTATCCTGGTGCTGCTATCGCTATTGTATGTGAAGCACCAATATTCGCTAAAACCGGTAAGCACTTCCTTTTTTTGACATTGAATCAGTGCACTATGTCAATGCATTACATTCCAGCGCAGAACGTTTCTGCCGAATTGAGATTGTCCGACATTACGTTATTCGATGTATGTGTGGCAGTCACCTTCATGTGGGCTTGGTGGCATCAACATTGCACTTCAAAGATTTTGGCTAATTTGAGAAAAGATAAAAAAGGTTGGTAACTGCATTTTTTATTGGATTTTTCTCGAGCAAACTGATTTTTTCATGTATGAGAGTCGTGTCGAAAACCTAGTATGGCACTTAATTGTGGAGACTACCCACCGATTCTGGAGTTCGTAATAAAAATTGTTTCTAACTGCAATCATATTTAATATTTTGTGCCATCAAACATGCCTTGAATTTTCCAGAGTTATTTCTAGATTTCAAATATTCCGTGTAGCAGCGTCAGCGCTATCCTATTGTTAGGACATGTTTTCTTTTTGAATTGCAGCAAATTTCAGGCTGATAAAACATGATATAAATCAAAAGCATAAACAATTTGATCGAAATAGATATTTGTAACATAACCTCAAAATACTATGAAAATCAAGGAGGCCAAAAAGGCGTGCTACAATTGTAGAAACGACTGACGAGACGGCGTAGTAGTGACTAAATCTCGTAGCTCTTCAATTAATTTTCTGTTGAAGGAAAGGTGGTCAGTCACAGCCATTGCCTACCACATGGAGATTGGTTCAAATACTTGTCTGCACCACATCAAAATGCTGAGATATTAATGTACACTTGCTTAACTGTTTTATTGTGGTACAATATCACCTGGTTCTTTGTATTTGCCTGGGTTCTTATAAACCAGGTAACTTTCATTTATCCTGCTAGTCTTGTATGAAGTTAATTTCTGTGTTTTCAGGTGGAAACCATTCTGCTATCACATTGGTGGTATCAAAAGACATTTAAAGATTTTCCCAGTCAAAGAAAAGCACTTGTTCCATATTTATACTAAGTTTCGCATTAAGGCAGATCTCTATAATTTATTTATTTTTTATATCTTTACACAATATACTCGATTACGAAAAATTGTCTAGTTTTTTTATGCATTTCTGTGCTGCCAAATATACTAAGCGACATATAAATCCGAACACCCAGTTTAAATGGTTTTATTTTAATAAAATTTTGTATAAGTACTTAATGAAGCATAATAAGTAAATGATAAAAATTTCAAAATGATTTCACTGCTTTAAAGCCCTTTCACCTAATGTGTGGATGCACCCTGATGTGCTACGCATTCTCCAACGCGCCTCGCCATGCTTCTGATCAGGTGGTCAATGTCCTCCTGTGGTATCTCACTCCAGGCAACCACCAACTCCTCTCGAAGTGCTTCTACAGTCTGAGGAGGACGTTGCAAATTGCGCAATCTCCTACCCATCATATCCCACACGTGCTCAATTGGGGATAAGTCGGGAGATCTTGGTGGCCATGGTAACAATGTGACATCATTATGTTGAAAGAAGTCTATTGTGACTCTTGCAACATTTGGTCGGGCATTATCTTGTTGGAAAGTTGGATCTGCCAGGGTGTCAAGATAGGGTAAAAGATGGGGTTCTAGAACTTCGTGGATATAACGCTGCGCGTTCATGTTACCTCTGATGAAGATTAAAGGTGACCTGGAACCATAAGCTATAGCACCCAAAACCATAACTCCATCAGTGTGATGAACATGCCTTTCAACAAAAAACTGTGGATTTCTCCTTTCACCACGTCGCCTTCTAACCCTGGCACCACCATCGTGCATGCCTAAACAAAATCGAGACTCGTCACTAAAGACAATACTGTTCCATTCCTGATCCCAGAGTGACCGTTGTCTGCACCACTCAATTCGATTACGTCGGTGTTCTCGAGTTAAAGGGAGGACCCAGTGTGGCCGGTATGAAAACAAGCCAAAACTTCTCATTCGTCGGTAAACACTTCGCATGCCAATAGGTCTTCCGTGTTCTGCAAACCATTCATTTGCAATGGACCTGGTAGTGGAGAAACGGTCCCTTAAGGCCAATAATCTTAGGCGGCGATCTTCACGGTCTGTTGTTCTACGGCGGCGTCCAGTGCCCCTTGCTCTTTGCGTACGGCCTTCTCTAACCGCAATTGCCCGAAAAGAAGGTCCAGCTTCCCGAAGTCCCACTATACGGCCCCTATCAAACTCACTAAGTTGACTAAATCGTACAGGTCTCCGTACTCTAGGCATCGTAACCGATCGTAAAGGATGTCAAGAACCAAAATCCGCCAACGTTGATTCTTTACTGCGGCTGAAATATTCATTTTTAGAGCGTTAGTGAATTAAAAAAAAAGCAGTATAAAAACCGGAATGTCCAACTGATAAGGCTGAACATTTTTTGACTTGTTATTTACAGTAAGATAAATACATTCACCAACTTTTATTAAAATAAAACCATTTAAACTGGGTGTTCAGATTTATATGTCACTTAGTATACAACAAGTTTGCCAACTACGCGGTTTTTCGGATGATAGGTGGCCGTTAGGGCGTTTCAACATGCATATAGAAACTCCAATCACAATGAAAATGCATAGTTATGTTTTTGGTTTATTTACAACACTTGCATAAATATTTACAATTATATATTCCAATAAAGGTGTTTAAACGGTAATTAAAGAAAATTAATCAAGGAATGGCAACAAATCTCCCAATTTTTCTAAGTAAACGTCAGGCACTAGGTCTCTGTCTTCTCGCTGATTCGAATTTTTCCAATCCATAACATCATCCAAAGAAGTGACACCTGTCAATACTAAACACGTCTGAAAACCGCATCTTGTACCCAGTAAGATATCTGTATTGCATCTGAAAAAACTATTCTTTAGATTTCGCAAATTAACACGATAATATTTTGACGATTTATTTTGTACAGCATTTGGCATTACCTGTCCCCAATCATTAATGTCCTTTTAGGTTGGACACCATGATTTTTAATTATTGATTCGGCTATGAAAGAGTTTGGTTTTCCTATAACTATCGGTTCCCTTTGTGCTGCTGTTTCCACAGCTTTGACTATTGCACCTGTTCCTGGAACCTGTAAATTCATCATCATTTCTAAAACCTCAGCGGTAGCAAGGTCGGATTTTGCTCCCGGCAGGTGGTGCTTGTGGAAAAACCTATTTTTTACGTTTTAACATCTCTTGACGTAACTATTGTATTTTTTACGAGTACCGTTGTGGTTGAATAACAGCTGATTATCTAGTAATATTTTGAAATTCCCCATAGGCACAATTGACACATAATTCTGAGGGTGAACTGGATTTTAAAGGCTGTAGTTCTTCAAATACTTCGAAAGGCTATATGTCACTGTTTCCACTTTTCCTAAGTATTGCACCTTAGTCATTACAATGCCTGGCAAGGTTCCTCGTTCATATTCTTAAAATTATGACATTGATGACCCATACTTGATATAAACATTAACTGCTTCTGGATAAATGGAATCTGAGGTGTTCACAAGATAAACACAAATTTACTTACCACTAGATCTGTGTTCATGGGAAACCTCTCATCAGTGTTCGTCGCAATGAACAAGCATTGTGGTTTGTTAAGGTATGAAGCTGCTTTGAGCATTTTAACATATGAAAAGTGTTCATCGAATCCAACTACAACAGCTCCCACTTCATTGTCAGGTTCAAACTGCTCAATAGCTTGAACTAAGCTGCTTTGCAGGGTGTCTGCCTGAAACAAGACGCAACTTAAGGTTTCTCATTACGATTCATAAGAATGTTTCTACAGCTTGTCACTTTGACTTCAGCTGCCAAGCAGAAAGAACTATTGAAATGTCATGTCCCACAGATCACCTCATGGTCTCAACCATGCAATAAGATTACATGTAGCAGTATCTCGGAGTGTGCAATGAGCTCTCAAGGCCACATAATATCCCCCAAAAATTCTATTTATTAAATTTACTAATGTACATACAGAGTTATTCTCCAAATAGTCCAGTAATTCAAATTAGCTATTCATTAGTGCAATATTTGCTCTGAACAAATTTAAACTACAGCTGAACAACTCTATAGGTTCTATGTTTTTTGATGGGTCACAGTGAAGATATAAGAATTGGTTTGATACATTCTACCTCACACATACATATGGAATTGGCTTCCATGAGCGAATGTTTGTATAAGCTAAGAGATACACACTTTTTTGTTTTTACTCCACCTTGAAATTTTTCTCATCAATGTATGAGTCTATAGTCAACGCCAAACAAAGTGGCGTGCACGTCATCACGATAAAAATTCCCCGACCTTATGCCTAGGTTTCTATCACAAACAATTGCTCTATTGCAGTTTCATATTAATGTGATATATAAATTGTAAAATGGTCATTACTCTCTTATTATGGTTAATAGTCATATAAACATTGTTATTAAAATATCACATAAGTTGCTTTCTGATAAATTTAGACGCATTATGCGAAATAAAATGTTTTGCAAACGCTCCAATCACTTATCGACATGTAAACGCACTAAACCGATTTCGCAGCGTTGACACATTGTCACCTTGAAACTTATTTAAACTGGGAACTGACATTTGTATTAATTTTGACACTGAATCAATTTGTGGCATTTCAAATCTTTATAAATCCTTTGGCCCCGCATACTGTAAATCAACAACTGTTTGTTTCAAAACAAAATTATTCATTTTACGAGTAGATAAAGGCAATTTTGGTATATAAAGATGCCCAAACAGTTAAATAGTCGGTGTAAGGAACTCGTGGCCTCGTTAATGCACTACTTTGAGCAAGAAAGGGACAACAACGGGCCTTTGTTGCCTTTAAATGCTGTTCAAGAGGTAGGTTACTAATAATTATATGTAATGTATATTAATAATAGTGAAATTTTATTTCATTTTTTGTAGCGTGTTGCTGCTGCTTTAAAAATTAGTTTAAGGACAGTTAGTCGTATTTCCGAGGGTGTGAAAAGTGATGCAAATTTAGAATCGCCCAAGAAAAAGCGGAGTTATATTAAACGTGTAACCAACACAGCGACATTGGATACAAGTGCCATTCGAGAAGTGATCTATAATATGTATCACAAAAGTAAGATCTTATTATAATAACTTATCAGAAATTTGCATTAATTTGTTAACTAAATTATAATGTCATATTACACATGGTTTCAGAAGAACAAGTTACGATACAAACTTTATGGTCTCGATTAAGAGATAGGGCATTATTTGATGGTAGTGCCACGTCTTTAAGGCGGTTGCTTAGAGATCTTGGATTTAAGTGGCTTAAGGACAATCCGCGACGAGGGCTCATGGAACTATCAAGTATAGCTTTGAAAAGGGTGGAATTTCTAAGGCAATACAATCAAGCCAAGGTTGAGGCCTTATACCAGTTTGTCTTCCTCGATGAAACTTGGATATTTCAAAATGGGACCATAGGTCACTCTTGGCAAAATGGAAACCAAAAAAGCGTGAAAGCTATTAAAACAGATGGTAAAAGGTATGTACTTTTACACAATTTGCACTATAAAATTTAAAACTAATATATTTTAGATACATTATATTACATGCTGGAAATGAAAATGGGTTTATTGAGGGTAGTGAAGCGATATTTTCTTCGAAAACAAAATTGAGTGATTACCATGGAGAGATGAACCAGGACAATTTTTTGAAATGGTTTCAACATCAGTTATTAGAAAAATTGGAGAGTCCATCTATGATTATACTGGATAACGCCCCTTATCACAGCATGATATTGAACAAAGTGTCCAACAATGCATGGACAAAAAAAAATATCCAAGACTGGTTGACAAATCAAAACATACCATTTTTAAACACAATGTTTAAAACAGAGCTATTGAGTATTGTTGCTCGGTACATAATGCTTCTTAATTATATATATTTTGGTCGACAGTTTATATTTCTTTTGTTTATTCCTATTCTTAAAATAACTGCTTTTTTAGAAACAAACCACCTAAAATATACGTGATTGATGAATTGGCGGAACAACATGGGCACAAAGTTCTTCGTCTGCCTCCTTACCATTGTATATTTAACCCTATTGAGTTAATTTGGGGCATAGCAAAAGGGTACTATAACAGACATATTGGTAGAGATGGTAACAGTGAAAAAGACTGTTTGGATATGTGGAACGAGGCTCTACAAACGGTTACCCCAGACATGTGGAAAAATAGTGTTCGACATACTGAGCAAGAAATTTTTAAATGGTATGAAAGAGAACGAATTTTTGATCGACCAGACATCGAACCTTTAATAATCAACTTTGAGAGTGATGAAGATTCAGATTCAGACAGTGCTGAAGAAAGAAACTCCAACTAACTTTATTGTACAGAAAAAGCTTACACCAGTAGCTTACCTAATTTTAGAATGCATTTTTCTGTATGAATTCTGTAAAATAAATACCATGCATAAAATTTGGAGGACCCCATTTGGATTTTTATTCAGTACCTTTAAGCTATCAATTAAATATGGTAGTTTCATAGTGTCATCTGATCAATAATTGTCATACTTAATGATTATGCAAGTACAGATCTATAATTTTATTATACTATTATTTTTGTTCTCATTTGAGGTTAATATTGCTTATAAACCTAGATATGTTAATAATAAATTTTATTTATTACAAAAAGTTTGGCAACAATGTAAATTTTTCAACACACCCACCTTGATGACGTGCACGCCACTTTGTTTGGCGTTGACTATACACGTTTATGGTTGGCATTGTCAATATGACAGGTAACTGCCAAAAACTATGAAAATTACTATACTTGATTATGATAATACACATAATTTTCAGAGGGTTGCACCAGAAATAATAGATTTTACTAGACAAGAATGTTGTTATAGTATAATGTTAAGATGCAGAAATTTAATTTTACACAGTATATTGTCAGCTATGGAAAAATGTATGTGATAAACTCGCAACGTTGAGTTGCTTACCCAATGTTAATAATGTCATACCCCAATTCCGAAATGGTTGATTCCAGCTGCCTCCAATTCCTTAGACAACCCCTTCGATCCAATAACATAAACTTTCTTATTGAATCCACTAAGCTTTAAGTAACTGGCCACCAAGTATGATGTGGAAATAATTTCATCCTTCTCTGCAATGAAATTCATCTTCCTAGCTTTGGTTACGAACTCGTCTCTTATTTTAGTCGAGTTGTTGGTAACATAGAGAATCTTCTTTCCCATTTCTCTGAGCTTGTTTAGGACCTTTTCAGAGTCCGGTATGAGCTCACTTTCCAGCCACAAAACTCCATCGCAGTCCGTTAGTACTGTGTCGATATTATTCAAATATTGTTGCACTTGTTCTCTTGGCAATTTTGCAAGATTTGTTGCCGAACCGGAATACATGCTCAAAAAGTTTGTATACCTCGAGATCTTGCAATGTGACTTCAAAGTCGACTTATATAATGCCATACACACATGAAGGTACTGTCTATAACTGCGGTTATGATTATGATGAATAAATCAGATAAAAAAATCCATTCCGTCAAGGATTTTCCAAATCAAAATCAGCTTGGCTGTCATTCCAAATGAAAAAGTTGACAACAGGCACTTGTCAGATAGAAAAATGGGGCGTGACGTTCTACCTGCAAGCACCTTTCAACCAACCACAATTTAACTGCTTAAATATCACGCCTCTTTTCCAAACTATCGTATTATTAAGATTCTCCCATTTTCTCTTAAAAATCTTTAATCACCCTTATTTTTCTGATCACAATCTCATAACCGCGCCTATTTTTCTCTCGCTAGAGCTAGACCACACCCTCTTTTCTACGAAACCACGCCCCCTTTTCAGTCCATGGCGCCTGTTTTTGCCACTATAACCTCGAATTCTGTTGTTGATTGTATTTTAAGAAATCGTTGGAGCATCTCGACAATCATTGCCTATATATTTGAGGTGTAATTATAACATGGCCATGGAAGACAACTGTTGAAATATATTGTACTAGACTCTAGACGAAATCGTTGCACAACACTTAAAAAAATGCAAATGAAGATTGGAAAATTGCCGCTTTGACGTTCTAAATAACTGTTGGTAGCCCGGGATAGACATCCGTCTTGACAGATAACCTTGTCATTCTTGCCACCTGGATTGCGGCGTTGCCAGCTCATCGGACGATTTTGTTACCTCTGCTATTTTGATAGAACGTCATCTAAAAAAAAATTGAATAAAGTATTGAGGAATACCAATGGAGATATATAAAATTTGAGGCGTAGCAATTTTAATGTCTCTGAACATTTTTTAAATGCCCAGTTTTATAGGATAAAATACTTTTTGAATACTTCCAATTGGAAAAAACGTTTTATTATATAAATATATTTATTAACTATTTGACCCAAAATTACATGATCAATAGGAGAAGTACGATTTTCATTTTAGTCCACTATTTATTAGTATCCGTCTTATATGCAGATATATTAATCATTCATTTTGAGGAAGCTAAAAATGGACAGCTTGATAACTTGAATCCAACTTATAACTCGTCGATTATGTGGAATTACAGGCAGACGCATTCTGGACGCATCACATCCCTTCTCTTGCTGAACATTTTCTTTAGTAGTCTGTGGATGCCCTTGTATCCTCCGACAACCAAGGTACGTAAGACATTGTAGTTTCCTCAACACGGGGGGCTGAGATTCCAGGTTTAAAAATGCCAGAGAATCAGCGCTTGATTTTTTGCACCATATTTAGTAAACATAGTGCCAAGGGCTTAGTGCCAAAGCACGATACTGCCAATTATAGACTATCACCAATTCCTTGTACTAAAAATAGTACATATTTTGATCGAGGCTTTGCTAACAGTTTTGAGATTTTTCAGAAATTAATGTAAGTACATAAGGATACTTACAAGAACGTTAGATTAGTGCACGTTTCTGTGATTTTTTTTATAATAATATATTACAGGGTGGTCAAGATAAGGATCAGACTAGGTCAAATTCAGTTATCACACAATCTTACATTAAGCATTTGTTTGCATCGCCTACTTACATAAAATTAAAAAATAGAAAAGAAAACACGTTTGTTTATAACTTAAAAAAACAAATGTAACGTGATACATCGGCGTAGAAAAATATGCTATTAGATACAGGGTTGTACTTTTTTAAACGTTGTGCACCATGATGTGGTGCCATTAGTTTTTTGACAATTCTTAAAATAAAGTCAGACAAAAATAAGAACCATTTGGGCAAATTTTAGTTTTTCCCAAATACCTCAGTATATGACTGATCTCTCAGTGTATGCAATTTATTTAAGAACCATAGGATGTCAACCCTAACACACCAGTAGATGAGTATGCACCTAGTTTTGCATGCACATGTACCCTGTTTCCCTCAGAAGAGTTGGAAGTAGACCTAATTTCCACTTTGGAGGCACTTGACACCCACGTCACAGCACTAAAAGCACCACTGAGACACAATCGAGAACCCTATAGTGAACACACCACTACTAAAAAACAGTAGCTTAACCGAATATAGCTCTGCACGGAGCTGTGACCGCGTGGACATTCCGCTGTACTGTACCTCTCTGCGGCAATACAATACGGCCGGGTAGTACAGCCATGCCCCTTTAAGCTCCCACTCCGCGCGTCTGCGTTTTCTTATCTGGCAGTATCACGAAGCGACTCGATGTTTACGTTGACGTGATCGGGCCCGCGGAGTGGGAGCTGGAAAGGGGCGTGGCTGTGCTACCCGGCCGTATCGTATCGCCGCAGTGAGGTACAGCACTCACACACTTCAGTCTATGAGTCTATCGACAACCGTCGTCGCAGTGGAATGTCTATGCATTCACAGCTCCGTGCAGAGCTCAATTCGTTTATCTACTTTTTTTAGTAGTGGTGTTCACTATAGGGTTCTAGATTGTGTCTCAGTGGTGCTTTAGTGCTGTGACGTGGGTGTCAAGTGTCTCCAAAGTGGAAATTAGGTCTACTTCCAACTCTTCTGAGGGCAACAGGATATCTGTGCAGCAAAGTAGGTGAGCTTTGCATACTGATCACTTGTGTGTTAGGGTTGACATCCTATGTTCTTCTTTAAATAAATGAGAATTTTAATAACGTTGTTTAGTAGACGACAACGATATTGTATTTACATTTCTTGCCGATATAGTCATAAAACCGAGAACCGGAGGCATGAAAACAGAGATGGATCTGAAAATTTTCAGACATTTTCACTTGCAAGTCTGGATGAGATGAGAGATGACTGAATCAAGTTGTTGAAGTAACGTTGATTGCTATTGTAATTAATTATCTAGACATTAGTTTTCATACTATTAACCAAAATATACATATGTATATGATGGTAACGATGTCAAAGATTTAAAGTTACTAACCTAATTTACTATGTTGAGGAGCCTTCTTCCAGAAACACGCACTTCAGACAATATTAAAATAGTGCGATTTTTTAGATTCGCTACATTCAAACCACTTACATCGAACTATTAGAGCGATACTTCAATGCTACTTTTTTTAGGTTAATAACTATGTCATTAACGTTCCGCCGCGTAGACACCGGACAACGCAAAATGTAAATGACAGCTTTTTCATAGTTTTGTGGCAAACATTGCTATGCCTCAAATTATATATATCTCCATTGGTATCCCTCAATATTTTATCGAAAGCTTCTTTTTTTTATTACATTCTAGCAAATTAGCAGAGGTATCGAAATTGTCCGATGAGCTGGCAACGTCGCGATCTAGGTGACAAGATCCTATGTCTATTCCGGGGTAATGACGGAGGCGTTTAGTACGTCAAAGCGTCAGTTTTCCAATTCAAGTGGTGTGCAACGATTTCGAGAAAAATTTAGCTACGGATAGTCTATTAGAGTAATTTCAATAGTTGTCTTGCGTGACCTTGTTATCTTTACTCCGGCCTGTAATTCATTTATAATGGAGTGTATGACATGCGGTGGAAAAGAGTTTTATAAAGATCTTGGGTACTTCTATTGCCTAGAGTGTCAGACCCAGAGCCAAGATGTTCGGGAGCATGAATTTCAAGAGGAAGTTAGGAACAAGACTGGTAAAAAAGTTCATAAGCCACCAAAAGACAAAGAGGAAAGCAAAATAACTAGCTGGGAATGCTACAACATTATTCTGCATTCATTGACAAATCAGTTGATCGAGCTAGGTGCAAATCACAGCTTGAAAACTGTTGTTAAGACTCTTTGGATCGCATATTTGGAAAAGCTACAAGTACTAGATCTACAGGTGGATGCAAAACCTAGGCTTCCTGCAGTAAATCTGAAGAGGTAACATGGTACTACATCAAATATTTAAGAAAGTTTGATTTCACAAATCTACTTGTAGGGACGTACAGATTTTATATGATCTCAAAAAGAAGAGGCGAAAGAGGAAAAAATCTACATCTGATGAGTCTTCATCACATACAGATGCTATATCATCATATTCATCACTAAAACGTGAAAGAACTAAAAGAAAGGTAATCCAGTGGTTCATGTTTTCAATATGAGGCTATCTGTTATTGTATATGATACAAATGACACAATTTTAACTTTAAAGAAAATGTTAATCCTTAAAGCTCCCCAGTATCCACATAGGTATATTCCTATGTAGAACATACATCCCTAGTTTTTTCTGTAAATAATAGATTCTGTTCCAAATAGTACACTCTCATAACCTCTATGGTTAAAAAACCAAGCATGTTATTGGAGAAAGGAAAAAAGTCATTGATTTCTCTAGGCTATATTATTATCTTATTGCTGGTGATATGGTTGTATGCCCATTTCCACAATCTTCAATTGAATTGAGCATTTCTGCTGGAATATGTTTATATCCAAATTTTGATCTACAAAAAAATAATTTTAGAGTGCGTTAGTTCAAGCTGAATATACAGAGTCTTCCTTCAGGTTGACTCAAGAGAGCAGTTTTCAAGGTACAGAAACCTTGACCAGTCTAAAGAGTAGTTCTGCTACTGAGGAAAATACTCTACAATTCAGTTCTGGCGCACAAAAGGAGTTACGTCGCAAGCTTTCCAAATCACATATTACGGAACACCAGAAAGATGTGGAGCTCGCTATGAAATGCCATAAAATGACTTATAAAGATAGGACTAGAAAGTATCTTCGCAGTGTCCAGTTTGTGTCACCTGAGAAACTGTACTGTGTTTTGTATTTAGGTCTCTTGATCATCAAGGATGAAATACAAGTAGGTAAGTATCCTGATCACGGATGTCTGTGTTTTTGAGAATTTCTTTTAATACAATTTTTGCCTATATCTCCGAAACGGGACATTGCCAGTCTAAATGGGCTCTGAATTCGGTTTCAGTGACCCAAAAAAAAAAGTATTATTAATATTGCTGGGCTTATATTGATGACTGACCCATTTTTATTCCTTCTGGCCACAGAATACCATTTTGTAAATGGCTCATGGCAAACATCTTCTTCTAATGTTTTGGGCTGCTTGGACCTTTTTTTTATTATTATTATCCCATAGCTATTTAATTTCTAGGGCTTTACGCGGAATATTATACGATTTAATTTAGTAACAACTGAGAAATGTATGTTTACATTTAAAATTATTTATGACCTAAAATTGCTTATTTGACCAAGCAGCGTCGTCGATCGTGTTTAGACTGCCTCCCACAGAGCACATAACACTGAAGAAATGGGAGCTCCACGTTAAACGATGGCAACACTGTTGACATTTGTCAGATGGTGGCTCCGTCTATTTGGTTGGAGATCTGGAGGAACTATCGAAGAAATGCAGAGAGTGCGCCTGAAATAAGGAACGTATCGGGGATTTCGTTTGTTCATTATTTGAAATCGCTGAATATGATAATTCCCTATCCACCTTGCACCACACACTTGTTCCATTTGCTTCCCTTGCCTTTCGAGCACCAGCCATTTGGTTGGAGCATCAAACCCATGAAAAGCTGTCAATCTGTTATAAATTTGTACCTGTTTGTTACATAGCTTGCTTTTCTCATCTCTTTTGTAATTTAGGTAATACTGATTATTTAAAGGCACTAATAAATACAAAAATATGCTAGCCTAAAAAATCTGATAAAGGGCTCTAATGAAGTAAATCTTGTACACAGGTGATCTGTTAAGGTTTGTCAGGGAAGGACATTTGAGCTTCAATAACTACACTCACTTGCTACAAGATGACATGAGTGACAGAATTCTGGGAATTCAGACTAATCCGAAGAATACGATGTTGACTCACAAAGCTGTTAGAACTACCACGTTTAGGTTAGCTAAACTACTGGGGGTTTTGGATTACATTGTGGTTCCTAATATTGTCAAATTATGTGAGAGATATTGTAGAGAGATGAATTTACCAGGTAAGATTTCGATAGCGACTGATCGTTTTCACCGAAATAAATTGGCAACCGCAAACATATACAAGAAAAATACGAACAATGCATTTACCGAAAACTTAATTAGTGATGTGTATTTTTAGATTTCTACTATTCTGTGTCAGTGTCTGAACTCTCCTATTATGAGGCTATGTTTTCTTTTTGAATTGTCAGACATTTCAGGGCGATATAATAGATGATATAAATCAAAAGCATTAACAATTTGATGCTAATAGATATTTGTAACATAACCTCAAAAAAATAGAGCGCTGACACGGCCATAAAGTAGGAACGACTGACGATACGGCCTTAAGGGCTTATCACAAGCTTATCCCATTAAATCATCGCTGCTTCAGTGTTTGAAAAGCGTGATTAAAGGACATCGACAAGATTATGTATATTTTTTATTCTTACTATAAGCAGTATTTTTGCAAAACTTTCCGTGGCTGGAATCGAAGTCGGGTTGAAGTCGAGTTGTCGCTTTTGGTGAGCAGAGTTTGCTCAAGAAAAATGTTTCTGTTTCAGATGAAATTCAGAAAGCCGTCAAGACGCTGATATCAATAACCAACCCTGCATTTCCAATTCGAAAGCATAAAGAATGTATACCAAACTATGAAGCAAGATGTATGTCGATTATTCTTTTCGTAATGAAGCTGTACTTTGGAATGGACGGAGTTACAGAATACGAACTTTCGAAGTACGCCAGACTGTTGAACCAGAAAGGTTGCGAAAGTAACTTCTTTAATTTACAAGAATGGTTGCTTCACATGAAGTTTAGACGATTTGTAATCGAGCAGAATCACTTTCCTACATACCATGAAACTGATCGTTCTAGAATTGACAGTGATTTATATTTGCAATATATTAAGTCACATGACATCCATTTTGGTGAAAGATCAAAGCTTACTAAGGAAATGACGAAGTATAAAGAGTTACTGCTCAGATTGAAAGAGCTACAACATGATTTCATCACTCATTTACCTTTTCCTCCTAGTTTGACTCCGTTTCGTGATTATACAAGAAAAATAGTAGAAGTTTTCAGGGATAAATATCACAGTATTTTAAAAAGTGATTTCAGCAATGATAATATTGCGTTTTTGAAAAGCCATGATATATTTTTGCCACAAATTGGCGAAGAAGTTCGAATAAAAGATGGCGGTGCCAACTCAAATGTCATTTTAGAAAAAGTAAAATACCGCACAATGTCAAATCGCCTAGCATGTTCTGTTGTGGAACTAGTTGATGATTCTCAAAAAGAAGATAAAAATATCTTCAAAAAACGAGAATTTCTGAAAAAGAAAAAGAAGCGCAGCAGGTTTGAAAATGAATCTATAAATGAGGATGTAGGATACAAAATTCACTACTTGCCCCACAAAAAGTATTGGCTGTATAACACAGTAGGTCTCCACGACCTAGCACCTGAGTATTTTAACCCCTTTCTGAAGAAGTATCCTCATACATTTATGCAAGTTTTTGAGGAATGTTGTAGGATAATCGAGCAAACACCGGCCGATCTGTTCCAGACTTTCCAGCATACAGAGTTGTGTTTAGTATATCTAGTAGATTACAGTGGTGATAATCGTGAGGTTCTTGTTGATAAAAAACTGCTTTTTCAGATTAGGGAAGCCTGGAACTGTTGGTGATATTCCATGAAATAAAGCAATTATTGTAACGAAAACGCCGTTTTATTTATTACTAATTTATAACAAAACTAATTTATGTCTTTGTCGACTGGACTACAGCATGTGATTCATCGGTCGCTGCCACGTTGATTGTCCTCATTTCGCTATCTCGGCGTATACAGGGTGTCGCAACGAAAATGGAAAGTAGTTTTGTGACCAAACTGGAAAAGATTAGCTTAAAATCGATGAGATGATATCTGAATATCTTCAAAATTGGCGGATCTGCGATCCTTCAAAGATGGGCATTTTCTTAGACGTTTGACCAAACTACTTTCCATATTCGTTGGGACACCCTGTATTTATTCAGCTATCGACGAGTCGCCAAATACTCTAACGTTTTCCAAGCTGAGTCGCAAACCTTCATGCAAGTGATCTAGATGGCAGTAGATTCATCTCTATGACGCCGAACGTGAACTTGAAGCTGCTCAATGAGGCAGCAATCCGTCACGCACTACCGCGTAACTCTGGTTGCCTAAACGTCGATGTTTCTGGACGACAGTCGAATCCTCTGGTCAATGTACTTACGAAGATCTCGCTAGAATACAGTTATACGAGGGCGTTAAATATGTTTGTTGATATAATGTTTTTCCCTCAAGAATCACAGGAGTCGTCCTGAGCAATTTTTGTACACATGGGTGTCCGCAGGAGTATTTCTCAGGGAGGGGTGGTGCGATTATCGGCAAGAGGTAAATTTTTGAGACTCAATTCTGACTTGTCTCTCAACGCCAGGTGACAGCCGTATTTTTTTTTTGGACGCTACGGATCCATTTTGTACTTGTTCATTAACTCTTTTATTTGGAAAACTTCCTGCGCATGTATTTCTACAAAACATCTACGCTGACTCATCTCATAGAACACAATAAAACAGAATTACTTTTGAGCAGGCCGGTTGATTTAGCTATCTTTGTCTCACAAGCGTGAGCTGGGAGAAAGAACTAGACGACTACTTGTCTTCTCCGCGATTTTGCACTTATTTGTCTTGTAAATTTACGGGTCTGCGATTTTCCAATCCCCAAACGCCGAAGTTATAGCGAATGCGCTTATCGTTCTAAGTCCATGCGCAGTCGTGGCTTAATAAACAAGTTGTTCTAATAGGTGTGGAAAATAGTCTCAATTCTCAAAAATATATTATTTTTTATTTTATACCTCGCTTCCTTGTGGCCTTACTACTATTCAACTAGTCCAATCTGCACCAGTCCCCTCGACTACTGAAATATGATTTTGGGATTTTTTTGAAAAGTTTCAAATCTGGGAGATTTTTGTACCTGTTCTGGCAACCCTGTTTAAAACGTAATGAATAATCGTGAAATAGGATTTTGAAGTACATGAATTCATTCGACGTCAAATACATTTGAAATTGTCGCTGAACTCAATTCATGTATTTATTGTCAAAAGTAAAACGAGTATAAGGAAACCAGATAACAACAGAGTATAAAAACAGCGCTATATGTACACATGCTAATACAATGACACTAATAGCCTGGTGGAGCACATTCGAGTCAGCTTCCCTCAGAATATGGGGTATGATGAAAGCCAAGTACGTATCAACTCTCGCGTACACGCCTGGAACGCCTCTTTCACATGCACCGGAGTAAGATGCTATTCCATACAGGACATTTTGGCAGACCAAGGGACCTCCAGCGTCCACGCCACAAGCTGCACTAGTGTTAGTATGGATGCAGACTATCTGCAAAAGTGTAAGTTGGTTAACTAGCGCAGTTATATACAGGGTGGCCCAACCATGTCTGGAGGGAATATTACTCATAAACAAATACATTTTAGGAAAATCTATTTATGGAATGTTATACATAACATTTCAGGGCACATTTTGGGTGTCCCAATTTTGACCTATTTATCAAAGTTTATGATTTTATGCCTCAAATTTTATTGCATAATAATTCAAAAGAAGAAGATTGATATAACACTATGGGGTACCTAATTAGCTACTGAGATGTAAGGTGTTTTGTCCAGAAAAACCGTCCACTTCGGCAACCCCTTAATCCGCATTTTGAAATTTGGAGTGCTGCATTTTTATCAAAAAAAAACTTACACACCCCAGCTTTTATCTTATTTGTTACTTTTTCTAATTGTCATTTTTGCTTATACAGCGTGATATATATATATCTCAATACCAAACAGTATAATATATGCTACAAATCTGTATTCTATCAAGGGTTGATTGAATATAATAAATAAAATGCAGAGATAAAAGGCCAAAATACTTTGACAAAATTCAAAGTAAAATCGTGGAATCACTTGTTAAAACTTCAATTGCCCAGCATATCTGCATCATATGGCTAGAATTTACTAAGCCTGAGTTGCTTATAATTATACTTTTATCTACTACTGCTACTACACTGTATATAATGGTTAACTTATGCTTTCTGACTGTATATAATGGTTAACTTACGCTTTCTGACATTCCTTTATATACTTTAGAGCAATCTTTTGAAGGTGCCACTTCTAGCAGAGCGCATCTTATTGCCTTGCTCTTACTTCCCGCGTAACTGAACGATATTGCCCCCCAACCCATCACGCTGCACCTGTAATCACAAAATTTGCGTCTTATCCTATGTTAATCACTGCTGACGAGGAAAAAACAATTTTTATTACCTTTCATACAAGAACAGGCAGGTATATCTTGACTGTAAAAAGAAAACTTTGAAAAGAAAATTTAGTAAATAATATTCTTTTGATGATAAATATCTAAAAAATATTAGATACAAATAAAGCAGTGTTTTAGTGTTCAATGGACTTAATTCGATAATTTGATAATTAATAATAATACTGGGTGGTCAAAAAAATCCTTTACAATACATATACTTTTTAGTAATCCGTCTTTTTTATTATGTCCTGGTAATTTCGCGCTAAAGACATCACGAACGTAATATAAAGACGTCCTTAAGACGCTTAGTTTTTCTAAAAAGACTCGACTTTACAATGTCTTTATGATTCCGTATAGCATTCACGAAACGTCCTTACGATGTCTCTGATATCTCAAAAAGACGTTTTTAAAACGTCTAAGATAAACTTTAGCTATTTGGGATAGTGTAACCGAATTCTCCTAAAATCTGATTTACCCCACTTCAAAACAAATGCCAGCGCCATCCTCAATTTTTCGCGCTCGTAATGGCCCGCGGCGGTCCAACAATGGTCAATACTTTTTGACGAGTATCCGATACGGTAGATTAATAACTGATCATAATATTTCAAAGTTCTCGATTTCGACAAATGACACATAATTAAGGATGGCAACGATACATCGAATGTATCGAAAACATCGATACATCGGACGTAGAACTTCGATGTTTAGGCATCGATGGTTGTATGACGATATAACTGTGCTACCATCTCTAAGCGAGGACCGGTAGCTTCGAAATTGAAAGGCCAGAAAGCTGTTTGGTAGTATCTCAATATTATTATTACAGACATGAGATGGACTGTAGTCTTTTCTTTATTCTGTACTTCCCCAGCGAATAGAATAAAAATAAACTGAAAACAGGGCATTTAATGATTGTAAGTCTCTCTGAGTATTTTATTATACGTAGATGTCGTGTCGCTGTTTTATTGTTAATTAATCGGAATGCCACGAAACAGTGATGTGTGGAAGTACTTTAAAAAAACACTCTTCAACTTGTGCACAGTGTAAAGTATTTAATGATCATCAATGATTTTTTACAGAATATATTGAAGTCGGTAACCTTCTTTTAATCTATCGTGAAGCTGCTGTCGCGTTTTTTATTCTTACTTAATGGTTCTGAAATCGAGAAAAAAAACGCGGTGGGAATTTCACCAACGGATAAAATGACCATTCCGCTAAGACCGATAGCAATCGATGAATTCGTAGCTGAATTGAAAGCAGAAAACGTTAAAAAGAGGTTGTTTCGATACTTGTATTTGTTCCGATGTATCGAGATCCATCGATGTTACCATGGCGATGTTTGTCGATCTTTTCTAACAAATTGCCATCCCTACACATAATTCTGACCGATGCGTCAACGTCAGGTAGACAGAGCCGTACTTTGTTTTGATTTTTAGTAACGCTAATGATTCATTTTGTACTAGCTAACAACTCTTTCACTTAGAAAGTTCATTTGCATACAAAAAGACGCTATAAGCAAGTTTTACTAGTTTTTTAGCCGTCCCATTGTTTCAACGTTACTGACTAAAATAGATGTCATTTGCTGATGATGGATACTCGTCAAATAGGGTTTGGGAATCTTCTGATCCAGCGTTGTGACTCTGACGCGAAGTTTAAACAGAGCTTATAAACTAACTTTGGATACCAATTGAGTATGTCATCAGGCAACTGTGCATGCGGCAGTGATACATATTTTACGTAATCGCTCTGTGCAACCGCTTTGTCCAAAAAGATGAGAGCGATGTTGTTCAGCAACCCTTCTGGTTTGTAGTCTTCGTGCGGGATACACTTTCTTATTTTTGTCTTGGCGGCTTTCTCTAGCGTGGCCCAGCTTATCGTTGGGGTGCCGGCAAGTACGTACTCAATTTCCGGAGTGCAACACTGAGCAGCTGTTACAACCTGCGATTATTGTAAATGGGTGATTTGGTGGAAAGTACTGGGTGGCAGAATTAGGATGTCACAATCAAATGTCATCCGTGTGGCCAACATTATGTAGATTTTTCGCCAAGACGCGTTGACTTAGTTGTACGTGTTGCCTAAACGTCGTGACGCTTGTTATCAATTTTTGGCTCTGATGTGATGTAAAATCTGCTTCTGAGATGGCGTTATTGGAGGTCTAAGCTGTAAGTTGTATGTGTTGATGATAATTACATTGGGTTCTTGTCTCAAATACACGTAAATGAGATTCAAAGCTAGAAATTAGTTGCGCATCAACTTTTTCTTATCCATTCTGGAAATTACATATACAAATTTGCTGAATTTCAAAAATGAGAGAGATAAGAAATAATTATATTTACTGTACACTGACGAATTACAAGCCATATACATGCTAACAGTAACTACACACAACGCGGACGCGATGATGATTTCCCGTAATTTTTCTCAGTCTTTCGTAATTTATAACTTTGAACATAACCTCTCTTCAGAAAGTACCTACAACATAAAAAACCCATCGGGCACAGCCAATAGATATACTTCATTGGCAGCATATTCAGTAATGATTTTCTCACACAGCAAATATCACTGATTTTATACACGTGCAGACCAATACACATAATCATCCAAATGCGATCTTGCTATTCAACCAACTTTCTTCTCAGAGATAGAAACTACAGACAAGAATCATTTGACCACACAAAACATATGCAACCAATAATGCGTGTAGTTTAGTTGACTGATTCCTCCTTAGATGGACGTTCACAACGATCCTAGTGAGCAAACGTGGAATGACTGTTTGCGCCCTAAAAACTACCTAGTTTGCAAGATGACATCTTATAGGTTTTTTTTGAGGTTTTATATTTTTTTTACATGATACCCATGCCGTGTGTGATACAAAGATAGCTAAATCAACCAACCAGCTAACAAAGAAATATTCTATTTTTCAGTGTTCTAAGACTATAGTCGCATGTCTACCAGCCTACAATTGACATAAAGGTGTAAAGATGAGTCCGCGTAGGTGCTTTGTGGAGATCTGTGCGAGATTTCGAAAGAAAAAGCTACAGAAAGATAAATTTGTCATTTAGCAGTTGACAGATTTTTGTAATTAAAGATGTAATAAAAATACCTAACGATCTTATTTTCCCCCAAAAAATCGCCAAGAACATTTTATTCCCCAAAAATTCCCAAGGGGCGTAAAAATCCTTCGTACTTAGGGGAAAATCTTCCAATATGGCAACTCTGATTGCTAAGCAGGGAGTTCTCGCGCCCTCTACCGGGTAATAAGATGTCTACTTTGAGCCTTGTTACCGTCACCGCGGCGTGGTAGTCGACGTATCGTCCAACAGAGTGCGTGACATCACCCTGATAACAGCAACAGGGCTGGCTTGAGGAACAAAGTTTTTAGAATGATACTCCAGTAAATTTATTATTCACTCGATGTTAAAGAATAATAATTCTGTAATTTTGTCTTCCAAGAATCTATATATCATATCTTATGTCTCTCTTTTTGATTGATAGAATTTTCCGTCAAGTTCAGTGTCCATACACAAATTTAAAATTGGGCTTTGCAGCTGAATCATGTGATATATGTAGTATTTCTTGATTTAATATGACAATTAGGAGGTCATCTTACACAAATCGTATAATTTTTCTCTGGTTTGAGAGGCATTTTACAAGAAATCCACCACATTCATTAAATGCACTACTTCAATGACGCAAATTCTTATTTCCGCCAGTCAATAGTAAAATCGGGCCTAAAACGTGTTCCTTTCTTAGTTTGTTCAACTATAATTAATCCATTTAAAATGAAGGGATTTCAGCAGAAGTTTGGATATAGGATGGTATATTTTTTCAACAACATATTGAATCCTAGTATTTTCCTACTTACCCATCTGTGGTCCAACAGTGCACCTCCGCAACGGATAGTTAACGATTTATCTACAATAGCCACTGCAAATTCTGTAGGAATTCTACATTTTCTACCTCCGACGATTCTTTTCTTTAATTTACAACAACCTTCACCAAAAAGTAGCACAAGAATAGTGAGTGCAAACAGTGATTGCAACACATCAAACTGTGACATTTTAGGACGAGAGGCATACCATTAGGGTTAATGGTGGACGCATATACAGGGTGTCCCAAACAAAAAGTTTGATACCATAATAACATAATATGGTTTCGTTTGCGAATTGTTTAGATATCCAATTTACATGTTGACTTATGTCGGGTGTTTTCGTAAAAATTGTAACAATCCAAGTCCTGGTGCAGAAGGATCCTCTACAATACAATATTTTTTCCTTATTTGATCTATTTTGCATCACTTTTTATTACATAAATTTAACTCGTCTTTTTGAAATTAAATTTAACTATTGTTTAAAGAAGCTTGAAGCTAAATAAATCATTTTCTTTTCTCATCTATTGCAGGCTGTGTTCTTGCTTCCTTCACTTTGTCGAAGCAATAATCCAATTCTGCCGCTCCAATTTTCTGGTATCTTGATTTCTGGGCTTGTTCTAAGAAACACTCATCTCCTACGTCGAAATCGTCGGGATCCCAATCGACCAATGCAACGAAGAACGGATACCTCTTCTTTCGAATACAGTCCTGTATTTTCAGCACGGTATCCATCTTAACATCTTCAAGGTCAACTCCTATTATCAACAAGAGATAGTCTTCCATTGATAGTTCGTTGGCACATTCTCCCTGTACTTTGATCATTTCTTCGCCGTATGTCTTTGGAACGGTTGATATTTTTTCTGCTGAAGCCTGAAATACGTATGAAAACACAGAATTGATAACCCGAAAGCTATAATCGGGCAAATTAGTCAGTACAATTTTCAATCTCCGACACACACATTTGGTGGTAAATCGACGCATACTGTGTTCAGGTTCGGACTTACCGATTCTTTCCAACAATGAATTTCCGATATTTCCGAACGGGCATACAGGGTGTCCCAATATTTCGTGGACATCGAAGTACGACGTGAGTTTAGACTCAAAATAAGTCGATTGGACATGGCTTAACTGCTGACAATATGATGTTCTCCATAAACGTATATGCCAGTCTCTAAGTCATATGGTTGCACGTTTATGTCATTAAACGTCAATAATCGGGATTATTGCGTTTAATCTACTCCTCACGTTTACAGTAAAAGCTGTAACTCACCTGCTGTCCATATCCAAGCACTAACAGTACAATTCCCAGATATACTAGCTGCATTTTTTTAGTAGTAAAACCACCTCAAAGCGCACATGTAAGATAAAATTGCGCTTTAGTTTTTATAGCGATGCTTAAACAGAAAGCGATTGTTCACTAACAGAATAATTTGCAAGTAACTTGCACAGTCTAGATTTCTGTTTATATCGTCACCTTGCCAGCACAGGGTGATGGTACCAGAAAACTTGCTTGTTCAGTCAGGTCAAAACCAGAAACTGTATAAATTGGTCAATCTCAAATTATCCGTTATTCAAGTACATTCAGAATTATTAATAAAATATGAGTAATTTGAAAAATCGTACCAGTGAGACTACACTAAACTTTTTTTTATGCCGATTAAGCACAAAATAAAATATTAAAGTGTATTAACAAAACGTCGCGTAATAAAAGTTCAATGAAATGAAACAGGTGCTTGCTTTTTGGCCCAGGATGGTCCAGTCTCACGAAGAGAGATTCGCGCCGAGTGATCCCAGGGCAGAAAGAAGAAAGAATTTTACGTGTCGGCCCATCCAGTTTTTATAAACCGATAGAACCCCCACCGGGGCGAATAATACATATTTGCGGATTATGCAGTATTTGCCGACGATATGCACATCTGTCAGCGGATGCGGTTTAGGGCATCTACCGACCTATACGGCGCCTGTAAGGAGCTACAGTGTGATCACTCGTGGCAGTATAGTATATATTTTTCGATTTATACATGGTGACTTTGAAGTTGAGTCATTAATTTTCAGATAATGATTGTAGAAGGAAGATAAACCAAAATATGTGTGTAAACATTAAAAAAAAAAATGTTACCTTGTTTTATAAAGTATCCTCCAGACACGTATTTCAGTGCGGACCTGTATTTGTTCGTGCGGTCTTGGAGCACCGGCATGCCCTCCTCTGTGAGGTCTTAAGTCACCTGATTCACGAGCCCTTTGTACTACATTAACAAAGGCACGAGGGGTTGGTTGCCCTCGATTAAATAAGAATCATGTCCACAAGTTCACAAGTTCAGAATTTTCGTAAACATGTGCCATTTTTTATTTCGTGTGAGCCACGCAACAAACACCACTATTCACTCACGCGTTACCGACTGAAACATTGACTGACATCGTGATAAACGTTTCAAATTCTTTCGCTTTTTTGTTTCCGATGCGATGAACCGATAAGGCGGATTATATCCGTTGTTGCCAAACATGAGCACATAATATTATTATTGAGACAGGGCGGTACTCAAACTTCTAAAGGGCTATAACTTTGTTAATTTAATTTTACCAGAAAAATGTTAAAAGAAAAAAACATTTCTTTTGATCAGATCTACTCACTGTTAAAATAAATGACTCAACTTCGAAGTCGTGGGGCCAAATTATATACGATTGAAAAACACATAAAACTTTTTTAACCTAGCCAAAATTTTATTGAAATCTGAGTAGGTGACGTAGATTTTCGTTATGATGGAAATATCGCTTGACCGAGGTACCATGCACATTAGATGTATTGGTGATTTTTAAGACGGATTGTTAATATAAATTAATTTCAGTCATCGGAAATCTTCCTGTATCATGTAGATTGCTATTTTCGTTTATTAATTACCGTATCGAACTATAAAAATTTGATGGTGCATTGTTTTAATATATCCGAACGTACCTGTATCCATTATTTTTTCGCTTGATTGTTGTTTCGAGATAAGTTTGTCTCTGTTCATTCCACGTGGTTTACTAATATTTATTTTAATACATCACATGATAGTTAAACAATATAAATATTGATTTATGGGATCGCTATCGGAAATATGGTAATATTATTTTCAAATTGACTAGTATTGAAACAACCACACACAGGTATAGTTTACGAGAAGATGCAATCTCAAAGATTAGTTGCTTTTTTACAGAATGAAAAGCTATTAACCAAAATCGCAGACGTGGAAGGAACAAGTGAAGGTAATAGATGGGGGTTAGTCGTTTATGAATCATTTATTCTTGGGACAACAGCCCAATATTCTAGCCATCAGTTTTTGCTCTTTGTATACAGGGTGGCGCATCGAAAACGAAACAGACGGATTTACTGGCAGCTCAGTTTTTTTTTGGAAAAACGCTCAGACCCGTCGATTTTGTTTTCGAGGGGGTCACAAGTTTGGCAAAAAATTACGTTAACACGTGCAGGCCTCTGGGCGGGGGTGACACCAACCCCAAAATCTTAAATGGAAAGGGGGGTCGAGTGATACCTTATTTTAAAGGTCTTTCAATTCCCTTTATAATGATATAAAATTAATGTACTTCAGTTCAGTAGTTTTGAAGATTTATTGATTTAAAGCTTAAATAAAACTAATACATCTTCATTAGCGGAGATCAATACATTTGGCAGTAAAGTAATTTAAAAATGAAGAATGAACTGACCCGTTAGGCAAGTAAATGTTGAAAATGGATACCATGACTCTCCATGCAATAATAAAGATTTTGCTCAAAACTTTGCCGCACATTTTGCAATATTTGACGAGTAATTTGAAGGCACTCATTCACAATTCTTTGTCGCAGGTCTTCTAATGATGTTGGCTGAGTAGCAAAGATTTTGCTTTTTAAATGACCCCAAAACCGTCAGTGTATTTGCTGTTCACAATTGTGAACATTCGGTTAGCTGCCAAAACTACACACGCGCGAAAAGCGAGATTTATAACTTGACGGAAGCAGCAGTTATTTTCAAAACTGGTGTGTCATCCATTTAACTTTTAGGCTCCTACGTGGAATATTACAAGATTTAGTTTAGTAACAAATAAGAAAGGTATGCTTGCTTTTCAATTTTTTTCTGACCCCAAATCAATTATTTGATCAATCAGCGTCGTTATCTATACAACCTTCTCTTGAGAAAGACGTTAGAGGACTGAGCATCCGTAAAAAATCTCGAAGCTTAGGAGAATGAAACTATACACAACTTAGTTCTGTAAAAATTTATTAGATCACACGGTTTAACCGACGCTTAAGCTCTATTAAGTTATAATAAAAAATGAGAAAATACGAAGAACATATAGTTTATTCAAGTATCTGAAGGTATTTCCAGTCACAACTTTGTAGTTTGTACATAAGGTTAATTGGATTCTATTCCGAATAAACCGTGTTCCAGATTCATGTCACATTCACTTATTCACTAAAATTATGATGGAGGTACTTTTTATTCACAACAATTATACAAATTCTCAAATTAAAAAGTACACGAATATGACTGCTTATACAGGGTGCGGCAGAGAGGATGGACGGTTTTAAAAAAATCGTAAAATAGTTAATTTTTACTCGTAAACAAATTTATTGATGGAATCAGGTTCACAAGGAAATAGCATTTGAGACAGTCAAGTGTGGAAAATCACATCAGGTATGTGGTGGCCGAAAACATCCGTCCTCTCTGCCGCACCCTGTATATGAATTGAAAAAGTATTTGTTAGAATCTAATAACTTAGACAACAAGACGATCTAACTTATCATTATTATTATATTAGAAATGACACAATTAGATGGACACTCGAGTAAGTAAAAAATATATCTATTTCATCATCGTTTCAAAAGTCTTGATTTGGAGTTTATAATAAAGGATAGGTCATCATTTGTGAACCTATCAAAACTGTCACTTGTAGGAACCAGCATTACTCCATTTTGTCCATTTAGTTTAGATCCACTTATTAATTGAAAGTCATCCTAGAAACGTGAAGACAACAATATTCTTAGATAGACTAAACACGAACAACTATATACGCGCTAAGTAGATAAAAAAAAACTATAAATTTGTGTTTGTTACTACAATTTACAATTCGATTCAAACAGCTACAAACTAGATGTGCGATAGTAAAAAATGTGCATTTTTTAGCTAGCTCTGAACATCGCGAACAAATCTCTATGAACCCGCATTCCAACCTCTATCGATCTTCATTTGTCAAAGACAACACATGCCTGAAAAAATTACTGACAAATTCCTCATAAATCCAAATCCCTGCTGTCAATCTTTCGGCAAAGCGCTGTCACTTTTCCCCCGCACGTACAACCTCAAGTTTCCAGGCTTCGTCCCAAGCATTATCCGCTCTAAAAGGGAATGCTTCGATTTCCTTCTGGAAGCGAGCACTGCTCTGCACAGTTCTTGAAAAACGACAGCTACTGGAGCGACCATTTCCGCAGCAGCCACTTCTGAAAAGCCGCATTCGAACGTTCTGGCTAGTGTTGCGCCTTCCTCGGCTGTCACTTCTCGTAAATGAAGCTGCAAAAATTATCAAACGAAAACGTCACTGTTTTGTCGAACTACACACGGTACTCAAAACTTCCAGGATAGAAATTTAATGAAAAAAAGTTCGCCGTGTGGGGAATCGAACCTGTGACCCCCGTATTTGCCGCGAATAGGCAGCTTAGTCAAACAGCTTTCAATGCAGCGGTCATGAGTTCGATTCTTACCTATGACAAGTTTTTTTTCATAGTTCCTATATTCAATTTTGAACAAGACGTACAATTTAGCTCAGTGGTTCAAATTTTATGAATATAAGTAAAGGATTGGTTCTATCATAGAATCTAGAAATACGGACTGTAATTATACTGTAAATGTCGTGGAAATTGTGGGATATGTTCAAGAATTCTCAAAGGCTCGAAATTGTAAAAGTAAGAATTTGCGATTATACTTTTCATATTGTGTAACTGGTACAGACGAACGATTCTTATGACTGAACTGAGTAAGACAGTTCATCATTCAATGAAAATCTCTTAATTCCTTCACCAAGAGCGTCTGGTATCACAGGATTCCGATGATTCAAACCCACTAGTTAGTGAATGAACGAAAACGACATAGGAGGCAGGACATCAATGTAGGCAACCAAGTAAGCAGACGGTTCCATAACTGGTTGCCTAAATACGATCGAGGATTAGATCAAGAATATCGGACAGGACAAGATGAAGTTGCTAAATAATATAACAACAAAATCTATTAGTCACAAATGCTGTAAGAAATATAAATAAGCTTCTGTACAGCATATCATCCATTGAACCTTATTTGTTTCTTGTCTATTTCTTCTTTCTGACAAGATGTGTCCAGCATCTCACGGCACATATTTATGGCGCTATAAGACACAAACGTTTTTTGTAACCACCCAAAATAGTCTGGGGCAGAGCTTTACTCTTTTCTTTTTAAGTTTGATAATCTGTAGCGAATGGATCTTAAAGTCCGAAGAGACGTTGTATCTCGCTTGGCCTTGGTCTGTGATACTAATAAAGAGGGCCATTTCTCGAATCAAATCATTTATTAAAAACCTTCTGCAGTGGTCAAACAAGAGATTTTTAGAAAACGTGCATCTCTTCTAGCTATATCTACTATGTGAGCGACAGTTGACATAGATAATTTAAATTTGAAACGTCCATCTTAAACAAAAAAATATTTGTTTTCAAAACTGGTAATTTTAAAAGACGATAGTATACTTCATTAAATTCTATTGGCTGAAACATCGAAATACAAGTTAAAACATGCTATACAATACTCAATCATGTAAAATCGATATCACAAAAAGCAACAAGCGAGACAGTTGTCACCGAGTGACGTCATGCACAACGGCATACGAAATTCGATCGGGAAGTATTATGTGTTCTTACCAAGTCACTTTTGTTGGCTACTATGTAAAGAGGAATGTCTGAATTTGCTATGAGGGATCCTACTTTTTTCAAGTATTGTATCGAACTTCTGTCTGTGATAGAATATACGAGAAGGAGACCATCTGCCCAGTTGATGGTGTCAGCTGTAGGTAGATCGTCTAGGGTCTGAAAACAGAATTTAGATAAAAGCATGTCTCGCTAATAATGACAAATTTGGAGAATACAATATAAAAAGGGGCCGATGTATATTATCAAAAACTATAAGTCAGTGCATTAGTCCTTATTTTTTCATATTTAACATTGATTCTCACCTTAGGGCAGGCATCTAAGATTTCGTACAGAACTGGCTCATTGTCAACTAAGACCTCATGTTTGTATCTGGTTTCTAAAATAAATGGCATCTTTTAATTCTTGTGTCTTCACAACAGAATATTTAAAAATATTATCGATGCAACGGTATCGGACTGTATAGTTCACGAAAGACTTATAGTGTCTGTTTACGTGTTTCAACGACGGTCGCTAAAAAGGAATAAAACCAAAATGATGGCTTGTCTGCTGGACGCTATTTTAAATGAAACGGGGGTCATGTGATAAATCGTTCTGCTCCTTATGAGTACTTTATAACCCTAGAATCTAAAATCACTACAATAACTAATCATCAAATGTTTATATCATATTATAGGTATCAATCGTTTTTCTCTCATTTTTTTCAAACTGAATGTCCTATAACTAAAAGCCTTCTAAAAAAGAAAACAATCACACGTATCACTATCTTTCGGAATGGCGAACAGGCAGGCTGAGTGCTTTTGTACATTGAGTTGCTTATAACCCAAAAACTAATCATCAAAGCTTACAGTATGTGATATCGTTTTCTTTTTTGGAAGGGTCTTAATTATGGGATAGGTATTCAGTTTAAACAAAATATTGATATAACATTACCTTGGATGATTAGGTGTTGTAGTGATTTTATATTCTAGGGTTATAAGGATATTTGAAATAAGAGGTCAACTTAACGTTAAAATATAATATACTAAGTGACATATAAATCCGAGCACCCAGTTTAAATGGTTTTATTTTAATAAAATTTTATATAATGAAGCATAATAAGTAAATGATAAAAATTTCAAAATGATTGCACTGCTTTAAAGCCCTTTGACCTTTAATAATGTGTGGATGCACCCTGATGTGCTACGCATTCTCCAACGCGCCTAGGCATGCTTCTGATCAGGTGGTCAATGTCCAGGCAACCACCAACTCCTCTCGAAGTGCTTCTAGAGTCTGAGGAGGACGTTGCAAATTGAGCAATCTCCTACCCATCATATCCCACACGTGCTCAATTGGGGATAAGTCGGGAGATCTTGGTCGCCATGGTAACAATGTGACATCATTATGTTGAAAGAAGTCTATTGTGACTCTTGCAACATATGGTGTTATCTTGTTGGAAAGTTGGATCTGCCAGGGTGTCAAGATAGGGTAAAGATGGGGTTCTAGAACTTCGTGGATATAACGCTGCGCGTTCATGTTACCTCTGATGAAGATTAAAGGTGACCTGGAACCATAAGCTATAGCACCCCAAACGATATCTCCAACAGTGTGATGAACATGTCTTTCAACAAAAAACTGTGGATTCCTCCTTTCACCACGTCGCCTTCTAACCCTGGCACGACCATCGTGCATGCCTAAACAAAATCGAGACTCGTCACTAAAGACAATACTGTTCCATTCCTGATCCCAGAGTGACCGTTGTCTGCACCACTCAAGGCGATTACGTCGGTGTTCTCGAGTTAAAGGGAGGACCCAGTGTGGACGGTATGAAAACAAGCCAAAACTTCTCATTCGTCGGTAAACACTTCGCATGCCAATATGTCTTCCGTGTTCTGCAAACCATTCATTTGCAATGGACCTGGTAGTGGAGAAACGGTCCCTTAAGGCCAATAATCTTAGGCGGCGATCTTCACGGTCTGTTGTTCTACGGCGGCGTCCAGTGCCCCTTGCTCTTTGCGTACGGCCTTCTCGAAGCCATGCCTGACAACACCTAACCACAGTGTCTACACTTCTTTGCACTCTAACTGCAATTGCCCAAAAAGAAAGTCCAGCTTCCCGAAGTCCCACTATACGGCCACTATCAAACTCACTAAGTTGACGAAATCGTACAGGTCTCCGTACTCTAGGCATCGTAACCGATCGTAAAGGATGTCAAGAACCAAAATCCGCCAACGTTCATTCTTTACTGCGGCTGAAATATTCATTTTTAGAGCGTTAGTGAATTAAAAAAAAGCAGTATAAAAACCGGAATGTCCAACTGATAAGGCTGAACATTTTTTCACTTGTTATTTACAGTAAGATAAATACATTCACCAACTTTTATTAAAATAAAACCATTTAAATTGGGTGTTTGGATTTATATGTCACTTAGTATATTATGCTCCAATTTTATTAACTTGTGCTTTATCGATTACCTAATATGGTCATACTATGTTTGCACTTACCTGACGTGTGGTCGTATTCACCGATATACCTTCTCGTCAGGAACCTCACGGACAGGGCTAGAAAAAGATATACGTGAAAGAGATCTAATGCCTACTTAAACTGAGGTGTGCAGAAATCTCGATGAATGTGAGAGAAGGGCGCACATTTTATACCTTGTCTGAAGCCGGCCCTGTATTATGCCACGTCATCACACACACACGTTTGTTCATCCTACTACCATTGGCCAGTCATAAGCTCTGTAAGGGCGGAAGAATTTGTCAAAATTTTATTGTGTAATATGATGGTGCATCATCCCCATAGACGTTACCTATTCGCTCGTGCATTGTTTTCGGTTGATGACATTCTTTTGTCAGAAATTTTATGACACTGCGATACCCTCATTTTTCCTCTCAATTCACTTTATAAATTGGAAACTAGTTATCGAAATTGACTCAAATTTTGCAAGTGAGGTTAGAAACACATGCCACTATTTGAAATTATTAGCTTGTGCGTCTCAATTGTTTGTCTTTCATGGCTAGATAGACTTATTTTGTAGTGTTCCTCGTACGAATAATAAAGTTATCGTGTTGACCATACTTATCTATCTAACAAACAAAAATATTATCAAAGTACCTAGTGCCAGATGTGGATAAAAAAATTAATATAATTTAAATCCTACGATTACTGCGATCCATATGCGGATTCAGTTATGAATCAATTAAAAAGCAATGAATCACAGAAGCGATCACGCTGAATGAACTTCCGGATGAGTTTTATTAAGCGATCCCTCTATAAAAAACAAACCTTTCCAAAAATACATCCCGCTTTTTATTTATAGGGCCGTCTTGAAAATTTAACCTTCGTCTTAATCGAGAAACAGCCGAATGTGTTTTAAAGAGGCGAATAAAAATAAAATATTGGCGCCAACTGTGTACAGGTCCGTAACTCATAATTCAAAACACGCTTCGCTTCCGAAATAAAATATTTAATTTGCCAAATATCAACAGATGCTACAACTGCATACAAGGTGAAAGGTAGACTTTTGTCTGCTAGGTGCCAAACTTGGAAATCAACGGGCTATTTCAGAAATTTTATCAAGATCAAGGTTCACGATAGCTAGTTTTTTACAACCATTCAAAAATTCGTTTTCACTCCCGACGCCTGAAGACGAAGAAGTAGATACCGTAGTCGCGAAAAATTTCGAAAATGAGATATTATTTTTTGGACGTCACTGGTCTGTCTGTCAGTCTGTCCACAAATCCTTGGCTCGTCTATAACTTCGAAAGGACTGCTGGAATTTGGATGACATTTTCACTCTTTAGTACAGTGGACCTCCGGTAATCCGACAAACATTATGCAGGGCAGTGTCGGACTATCGAATTTGTCGGATTATAGAGCACTGCCTAAGAAACCCTATAGTCCGGAATGTTTTACAAAAGAGTACCTTATAATCCGACAAATTACATATCCAATGGTAAGATTATACATGATATGTATATGTATGTACTTTGAGGTACAAATCATACATAGTTTATGTATGTCGAATTTAGTAAATTAAATAACAATAGAGAGCTTACGTTTTATTATAAAATTAAGCATAAATGCGCTATATATGTACCAAAATAATCAAGAATTATTAATCAAAATCATTAATGAATTTATCAAATTATGAAGCTTGGAAATATTCATCATGTTTTTTGTGTAAGGTTGTTTTAACGCGAGATCAGAGCTTTGTCCCTCAGTCTTCTCAAAAGTAAAAGTTCGTTGTAGGATGTACCATTCTCTTCAGCCGATTGTAAACCTAGATCAAAGGCGTTAATTGCGTCTTGTGCTGTGACTTGTGGAGCAGTTGCAATCACGTCTTCGTTATTTTCCTGATTGTTTGTTGTATAATTAGAAACCTCTTTTATAATCTCTTCTTCGGACATTTCATGAAAAACATTTTCCTCTTTATCCATTCCGCGGCACCAGATTTCCAAATCTTCCGGACTTATCTGTGTTTCAGTAGCGACTTGTTCTATAACTTCCGAAGTAACACTGATTTATGGATCGTTGCTAGGAGTGGTGACTATATCTAGCCATAACTGTTTCCAAGACGATTTAATAGTTGATGACGGTAACGCATTCCATGACTGACAAAGAGCAAAAACCAAGTTTTTCATATTAAATTCTTTTAAAGTTTTTTCTATTGTTTGGTCTTTTGAGAAGTCGGTTTTTCTTATAGTCTTGCTTGACAAACTGAATGATATTCTGGTCCATTGGTTGAATCAGTGCAGTGCAATTTGGCGGAAGAAACATCGCAGTGATGCATTTATCCTCAGTTGTTAGTTCTTCTTCAGACGGATGACCGGGATCGTTATCAAGAAGTAACAACGCTTTTTGAGGAAAATTATGATCTTTTAACCATTTTCTAACTTCAGGTACGAAGCATTCATCAAACCACGTTTTGAAAAGGTCTTTTGTCATCCATGCACTTTTTTATCCGTAATAGTGTACAGGTAAATCAATGTTTTTGAATGCCCGTGGTTTATTAGATTTCCCAATGACCATCATCTTAAGCGCGTGTGTGCCCGCTCTTTACTTACTTTTCGTCCAGGTACGGATTTTTCGTTACAAGAAACGAAAGTTTTGTTAGGCATCACACGCCAAAAAAGCCCTGATTCGTCTGCATTGTACACCGGGTCAAGATTTAAATCGTTCACCTTTTGCAGAAATCTTAATTTAAAGGGCTCTATGCAGGTGGCATCGTTAGAAAGTTTCTCTCCTGTAATAGTCATTAAACGTATGCCATGACGACTTTTAAAACGTTCTAGCCATCCTTTGCTGGCCACAAAATCACCTTTCTTTGTTATTTCCTTATAAAAAAAACTTAGCTTTCATGGCCAACATGGGTCCTGAAATTGGTGCATGCCCATTTCTTTCCTGAAGAAACCACATGTTCAAAGCTTCTTCCACTTCTGGATGTTCAGCTTTCTTGAGTGTCTGTCTCTTGCCTGGCCCGCAGTCAGTAGTCGACACGAACCTCCTGATCTTCTCGTTGTTTCTTTTAATGTCATAAATTGTAGATTGGCCTACGCCGTATTCACTTGCTAAACTGCTGAAGGTTTCATTGCGATTTAAGCGGTCTAAAATACCACATTTTTCTTTAATTGTCAATGTTTTGTGCTTTCGCTTCTGAGTTTGTAGTGACATTACTAGGTACTATTCTTAATACACAATGAATAAATAGTAAACAATGAACGCACGCTAGGCCGTACCGCTATCACCAGTAGTCAAATTCAAACTAAGTAAAACAATGCTTATGCGTCGAGCACGATAGCGGTGGCGCGTACAAGTTGTAACCTGTTCAAACCTGCGTGATCTACATTAGCGAAGATTGTCAAATACGTATGTATGTAATACATATTCAAAGACGTGTCGGATTACAGGGGGCGCCGGATTAGTCAGGGGCCGGATTATCGGGGGTCCACTGTACTATTATCCCAAATAATGTCGGTTTTACAATACAAGGTAAACACGTTTCTGACATTCTTTAAATCAATATAAGGAAAACAAAGAAAATTCCTCAAAAATTGCAATTCAATCTTATAGGAGGCTTATTCCAGGTTTCGGAAATATGAAGTGGTCAGTGACAAGAGGATCCTTTCTCATTGAAAGTCAGATATCTCCGCGCCAAATGTTCGTATCTAGATTTTAAAAACACGATATTGAAGCTGAATAGGCGCGGTATCTGAGCCATATGATGACCTGACAGGAAACGTTGTTTTCAAACCCGTGACCTAAAACGAAGAAGGCAAAAATTTTGCAGAAAAATCTTAAAGATTCAAAATACCTTTTCTAAAGTCGAGATATGACCATTATTCACCAAAATACAACATGGCAAAAATCACTGAAACATTTTTTTTACCCTCCTAGTTTTTTTTGAGTAGTGTACTAGACGCCATTTTTTGTGTTCTGCTATTATAAACGGTTGGTTACGTTAAGGTAGAAGATGCTATTAGCCATCATTGGCCTGCTCCTTGAAATAGATTTCACCCTGTATATACAGGGTGACTTTGAAGTTGAGTCATTAATTTTCAGATAATGATTGTAGAAGGAAGATAAACCAAAATATGTGTGTAAAAATAAAAAAAAATTAAAAAAAAATTTTTACCTTGTTTTATAAAGTATCCTTCCGACAAGTATTTCAGTGCGGACCTGTATTTGATCGTGAGGTCCCCTGTGAGGTCTTAAGTCACCTGATTCACGAGCCTGTTGTACTACATTAACAAAGGCACGAGGGGTTGGTTGCACTCGATTGGGAAACCGATCCGCATAAACATGTCCTATTTTTTATTTCGTTTGAGCCACGCAACAGACACTATTCACACGCGTTACCGATTGACACTGACTGTAGGTATAACTGAACTGAATAAAATAATTGTAAAAACATCCTTCCAAATTCTTTCGCTTTTTTGTTTCCGATATGATGAACCGATAAGGCGGATTATATCCGTTGTTGCCAAACACGAGCACATGATATTATTATTGAGATAGGGCGGTACTCAAACTTCCAAAGGGCTATAACTTTGTTACTTTAATTTTACCAGAAAAATGGTAAAGGAAAAAAACATTTCTTTTGATCAGATCTACTCACTGTTAAAATAAATGACTCAACTTCGAAGTCACCCTATAATTGCCCAGTTTGATTATAATTCGATTTTGATCAAAGCATTCCTGGCCAGACGCACTTCTGTGTACGTAACTATAAATAGTTTATAACTGTGTGTATTTGCTTTCATTCATGATTTTTCTTGTATACAGTTTAGGCCACAAACGTGATCGAGCATATACACAAAAAGCGAACGCTTTGAATTTGCGAATCATAGTGAGGAAAGTGTTATGGAAATGATTAACATATTTATACAAAAATAACTGTATTATAAATGGAACATCCTACAGTTTTGGTATTTATCAGATACATTGCTTCTACACTCCGTATGACGGTTTGACCAATACGCAATTTTAAGTTAAGTATGAGAAATGGTGTTTTTATTATTGAAGCAACCATTGAGGCATTTGGACATAACACTGACGA